GGCCAGGGACTTAGTTCAGTGGTTCTGCCTCCTGCCTCACAATCAAGGTCCGGAGTTTGGAGTTGAATCCCCCCATACCAAAAAATAAAGAAAAAAGAAAATGGGCAGGGCATGGTGGAACATAGCTGTAATTCCAGCACTCAGGAGGCAGAGGCAGCAGGGTCACTGTGAATTCAATGCGAGCTTAGCGTACATAGTGAGTTGAGGGCCAGCCTGAGCTCCATAGTGAGACCCTGTCTCAAAAACAAAACAAAAAACAACCACCAAAAAAAGAACTGGGCCGTGAAGGTACTTGCCTAAGGAGTGCAGTTGTGGGTTCCACTCCCGCAAACCAAACCAAACCCTCATACACAACAACAAAATCGAACTAGACACTACAGTTCTTCAAAGATCAGGTTAGCATTTTATTTTTCTATTCCTGACACTCAAATTCAAAGGCAGTGGAAAGATAGTGGAACATAATCCAAATCGCATACACACAATTCAAAACATTTAACCATTTATTGGAGCAGTTCTTTGTAAAATACACAAAGGCAAACAGAAACATCTTCATATAAATTACGCTTCACAATCTGTATATACTCTAATAAAACAACTGCTGAAATTCACACTGTGGTCCTAGTGCAAGCGGTGGTGTAGGAAAATGCAAACAAGGTTCGTGATGAACGACTACCACTGGCTGCCGCCTGAACACAGCGCGCCCAGCCGAGCGCCTGTCACCTCCAGAGCATTGTGACCCTCGGTCCCCGGGGCTCCGGCCCCTCGCGATTTGAGTTCAGATGGTGTTCAGGTCGGGAACTGCACCGGGGAGAAGCCAGCCATTCTGACACCATTCTCCATGACTGAGAACGGAAACTCTCCCTCAAATCCTTAGGTCGGAAACTACAGGACTGTCACCCTCTTTTACCCCAAGATATCTAAAACTAAAATTAAACTTCATCCCTCACTTACAGTGCATGCTTAAGAATTCATGCACTCTGGTGCAGCTCTCGCCAAAATAATTCTGCACAAAATCACTTTGCTGTCCTCTGCCCTGAAGTCTGTTTGGGGCGGGGGCGCCTGAAACAGAGTTTGCTTTGGGTAACTGTGCTTCCTCTGATGACCCTGCATTCGATTTTAAAGTGTGGTCAAAGTCCTGAACACCAATCTGACAGCGAGTACGGTAGCCGGCTACCGCTGACCACGGAGCCCAAGTCGCTGGCTCGGAGCTGCACCTTCAGCACAACAGAGCCCTTCACTCCCGCAGCGCCTGAATCCAGGAGTGGAGTGGGACGGCTTGTGGGCAGGGACACCGGGTGTTAACAAATCCCAGTCCGCTCTGCACAGAGGCTCAGCCACTGCTCCAAAGCTTGCTTTTTGGCTTTTTGGTTAAAAAGCACCAACTTAAAATTTCAAAAGAAAAATAAATGAGCAGAAGCATCAACATGCAGTTTGGATAATTTAGTCCTTGATCAAAACATACTGTTTTCCTGAACAAGAAGAGCACTTATAGCAAAATCTGTTTATTTTTATCTTAACATAAGCTGTCTTTTATTCCCTACTCATTTTGCATTAAGGAATTTATATTTGCTAATCTCCATTTTTTTTTCATGCTTTCTTGAAGATTTTTTGAATCATCACCCACATTTTTACCTATGTCTAGAATGACCCAAACAATATACTTTTATAATGGGTTTTAAAAAGCGTATTGGTGCATTCCGATCAACTCTTGACTTGGCAAACATTCTTACAAACTTCAGTTGTGTAAGAGATTAACAAGCCTGCAGCACCACACTGAACTTCAGAAAGGAATGCAAACGTCACCCCCGACATGGTAACTAGAAGTATACGTTTTAAGTGATGGAACGTGTAAAAAAGATTTTTTCTTTTTCTTTTGCTGTGCTGAGGATCAAAGCCAGGGCTTCATGCATGGTGGGCAAGCACTCTGCTGCCGTGCTCTGCACAGCCCAGTGCTAGGACTTGGCTGTGGCTGACTAAGTGATTTTCCAGAAGGCAAGAGACACCGTGACCACAGCCGTTGTTCCATTTCAATGGTTTACAAGTAGTTTATATGGTAGAAAGCGCTTCACGGAAGCACAGCCAGTTGAAAAACGATGGAAAAGAAACAGTCTCCTGCTTTGTGTTGTAAATCGTAGTTAATCTGTACACGGAGGCAAACACACAAAACTCAAGTTTCGATCTATGCAGTCGATGTCTGAATTCATACATTTTGATACTTATATGAGGATCCTGGTTCAACTAAGCCAATGGTTAAGAGTACTTTCTGCCTGCCTCGGCCTCCCAAGCCACCACTCTCAGCTGGCTAAGAATACTTCAATACACTTCAGGAAATGTCTTACCCGATTTTAAATGATCTCCATTCTAAACCTGACCGAGATTAACTGGAACCTATCAGCTTAACCAGTTATGATCCAAAAGTGTAGTTAACAGCGATCGCTGAGACAGGTGTGAAGTAACAATCTCTTTAAAAACGGAAGTGGGCTCCAGACCTGATATTTTTAGTTTTGGACTTCAGATTTTAACCGTCTTTTGCAGAACTGACATGAGTCCAATCTTGACTTTACGCAAGAGTGTCAACAATTCCATTTTAGTGTCTTCTGGCACAAAATGAAGCCGTGTCCCTGACAGGAACCTGGGCGACCCTGCACATCCGCGAACGCACAGCTGTCGTGCTCGGCTGCTCCCGAGTAGGGGGTGGGCTAGGGGAGCTGCGCTCTGGGGTTTCTCCGAGCCGTGGGGTGTAACGTGACTGTTGGTGGATTCCAGGGTCAGAACTGGGATGAAGGTTCTGGATGAGCTTTTCCTTTATCCAGTTTCTGACAAAATGGATCCTCAAGAGACACCTGAAGTGAGGACAGGGAGAGCGAGAACACAGCAGGAGGCTTTGGCACTGAGAGGCCGGGGCTCTCTGCTAATCAAGCCTCTAGGCACAAGAAGCAAGCTGTTTTCATTTGGGAAGAGTGCAAAAGTGAAACAGAGCAGCCAAGTCGCTAAACCCAAACGTTGGAAAAGACCTTTTGGCTTAGGGAACCAGTTCCTTCCGCTCACCAGCACCAATCTGCATGCGCTTTGCGGGGTCCATCACCCCACAGGACCGGATGCTCCAACTCGCACAGTGGCGGGGGGAGCAGTCAGCTTGGTATTAAAGTGATTCTTGGTAAGACTGAACAACTTCTTGGCATAGTCCGAGGTCTGTGGAATTGCTTAAATATACTACAAACATTTGATTTACGCTAGGTGTGGCGGCACACACGTATAATCTCAGCTACTTGGGAAGCTGAGGCAGGAGGATTGCAAGTTAAAGGCCAACCTCAGCAGCTTAGTGAGACAGACACTGGCTCAAAACTTTAAAAAAGGGCTGAAGTGTACAGTAATTCATTGGCAAAGTGCTTGTCTAGGACATGCAAGGCCCTGGGTTTGATCCCCTCTCCTGAAAAGGAAAAAAAATCAAAGAAAAAATAGCTTGGTTTATAATAAGAGAAATCTTAAACTTGAGAATCTTTTTTTTTTTTTTTTTTGGTACCAGGGATTGAACTTGGATCCTTGTGCTTGCAAGGCAGGCACCGGAACCACTAAGCTAAATCCTCAGCCCTAACTTGAGAGTCTTTAAAAACACATTTGTGAGCTGGGGATTCAGCCCAGTGGTTCCGCCGCCTACCTTGCAAGTGCAAGGACCCGAGTTCGATCCCCGGTACCAAAAAAAAAACACATTTGCAAGCTGGATGTGGTGGCGCATGCTTATAATCCCAGAATGTGAGAGGCTGAGGCAGGAAGATTACTGAGTTCTAGGCCAGCCTGGGCCTACATAGTGAGTTCAAGACCAGCCTGAACTACATAGTGAGACCCTGTCTTAAAAAAACAAAAATGAATATATTTTTGGCACTAACCTTTCATTTACTCTTAACAAGAATGAGAATCTCAGATATATGAAAATGAATTCAACTTCTAAAATTATAGTGCTTTTTAAAAACTAAAATTGTGCCAGACATGGTGGTACATGTCTGTAACCCAGCATTTTGGAGGCTGAGGCACGAGGATCACAAGTTCAAGGCCAATCTGGGCTACACAGTAAGTTCAAGGTCAGCCTGGACTATACAGCAAGACCCTGTCTCAAAAACAAACAAAAAACCCCCAACAATAAAAAGCTGACATTTTATTAGTAAGTGCAGCAGGGAGGCCTGTGGACACTACTGCCCAGCAAGTATTATACCCTAAAACAAGTGAAGGTGACAGCAACTGAGGAAAAAGAAAATACAAAAGGATTCATTTTCTTCCTACCGGGAAATAATATGCCAAAGAATGCAGAGGAAGTGCAGGGTAGGAGCAAGACGACCACCGGACAAGCTGCTTTCTCCTCAGGTCCCCACAGGAAAACCACACGTGCCCCATCAGCTGCTTGCCCTGGACAGGACCGCCCCAGGGGCTGGGGCTTCCTCTAATTGTGTGAGGTTGGTGCCTGTCACTGCTTCTAAGGAGAAGACTCCAAATTGGCTGCCAGTAAGACCGGCTCACTTCACTGTGACACGGCTGGGGCGGAGCAGCATGGCAGCCCCAGAGGGCTGACCCCACGGCCTGGCACACGGAGCCGCGCTGGTGAAGGCGGCATCACTGGTTAAGAGCACCGGCGACAGCAGCTGTGGCCGGGAAATGCGCGGGCCTTTAAGGTCACACACAACCCTGCACGTCCTGAAGGGGTCTCCTGTCCTGACAGCCTTCTCACAGGTGTGATATTAGGTGCGTAAGTCTTCAGAGACGCTAGCTGGATGAGACACATTCAAATGAAATATGTGCCCAACAAGGATGCCACACATTAGTTTGTTTTATTGCATGACGTTTGCATAAGAAAAGTATTATTGAAAACCGTAAGGCATCATGCAATCACAGAGAAGCTAATTATTAACTGTACACTTAGGATAGGGGGACATACAATCTAAAATTTAAATACTAGTTCCAAAATACATAAAAAATTGAACATGATGAGCTTTTAAATATGGTTTATATTTCTAGTTTCACGCTGTTAAAAAGTGCTTCGAACATACTGTTGGCAAGTTGCTCTCTGTAAATGGTGCTGGGGTGATGTCGGATTATAAACTGTAAAAACTATCTGTATGGAATTAGAAACTAACATTGCCATATTCCAACTTACTTGAATCAGTATTCAATTCTCACTCAAATTAAGTTGATGTAATATTAATAGTCTAAAAATATCTATTTTAAAACCAACAGAAGTCTGTTGAATTCAAGTTAGTGTGCTGAGCAGTCCACCTGGAGCAGGCCCGGGCCAGCCTTAGTCGATGTACTGCGCCATCCAGCGGAAGCCTTCTCCGTAGCCTTGTCTCTTCAGCACGCTGCACATGAAGACTTCTAGAGGGCGGGCGTTCAGCTCTTTCAGTGACACACTGCCCTGGAAGAGAAGGGAGGCTTTTCTCAGACCTTTATGAAGCAGAAGGCCTCGGGCAGCGGGCGTGGTGTGTATTTCCTCCTCGTAAACTGGAGCCCAATTTGGACAATTCAGAGATTTTTTTTTTTTTGAGACAGGGTTCATTATGTAGTTCAGGCTGGTTCTGAACTGGGTACCCCAGGCTGGCCTCAAACCTGCAGCAATCCCTCTGCCACAGCCTCCAATTGAGGGATTTAGCAAGACACTGTCTCAAAATTAAAAAAAGTTGGGGCTGCAGTATTTCCCTACCTTGAAAGAACAGAGCTAAACAACAACATTCTGCTTAGAAACGCCGTTCTTCCACTGCTTATGTGGGATTCTCAGTACTAATATTCTCCCCACTTTTTAAATCATAGTATAAATGAACACAAAATAAGGCGATTGGGAGGCTGGGGATGTAGCTCAGGTGCAGAGCACATGCTCAGCATATGTGAAGGTCCAGGTTCAATGCGCAGCCTCAAAAACAAAACCACCATCTTACAGCCTAATATGAAGTTTATGTTCAGTGGGCCGGAGATGTAGCTCACTGGATCCGCCACCTGCCTCGCAAGTGCAAGGTCGCGAGTTTGATCCCCGGTACCCAAAATCAATCCATCAATCAATCAATAACTAGTTTATGTTCAGAAAAAAGTAACACTCCCACATCCAAGTTTCTATCTGCCTTATCTCTGGTGAACTCGGCTGTAACACAAAACCGATAAGCTTAAATGATCACCTACGTTACTTCCTGGCCTCTTTTCGAGACAGAGACTCACTTGCAGCCAGGCTGGCCTGGAACTGCTGATGATGGTCCTGTCTCAGCTCCTGAGTGTTAAGAGCAGGCGTGTGCCATGCCTAGCTACTTTCATTTTGTGTTTTTAGTGGGCTGGGGATTGAACCCAGGACCTCTTTCAGTGAGGTGCATTCCCAGCCACAGTAGCTAATTCTGAAAATTTATGATACTCAAAATTCTGAAAACTTAACTGGGCCCTGACATTTTTGTTAGCACTAGGAAAGGGTTTCATTCATTGGTGGAAGGAAATGAACACATTTAAGACTGAAGCCAGGTGCACTGGGGCACGCCTGTCATCCCAGTTAGAGCCCAGCTTAGGCAACTTAGATCCTCCCTCAAAAATTAATTAATTAGGGCCGGGGATTTGGCCCAGTGGTTCCGCCACCTGCCTCACAGGTGCAAGGACCCAAGTTCAATCCCTGGTACTAAACAAACAAACAAAAAACCCCCAACAAATTAACTAATTAAATTTTTTTAAAAAGCTGGAATGTAGCTCAGGGCAAAGGTGCTGAGTTCAAACCTCAGTACTGCATACATAAATACATTAAAAAAAACAAAGATTCAAATGTCTAAGTGTTAGGTCTTCTTAGCTTTGCTTTTTATATTGTTTATTTTGTGGTACCAAGGACTGAACCTAGGCCTCTGTACTGAGCTACATCCCCAGCCCTTTTCCAATTTTTGAGACAGGGTCTCACTAAATCCTTCATGCTGGGCTCCAACTAGTGATTCCCGGGTTCAGTCTCCCATGCTGGGGTCACAGGCGTGTGCCACTGTGCTTAGAGTAACCGATGTCTCAATGACCTTATCTGCTATTCCATCCTCTGTCACTTCTGAGCCTGTGTGTGTGTGGTATTGGAGAATGACCCAAGGCCTTTGCACTAGGTTGTATCACTACCCCTTTTTCTTAATTTTTCCTTTTTGATGGTGGAGCGTTCACATTAAGCTACATCCCCAACCCTTTTTTGTTTTTTACTTTGTGACAGGGTCTTGCTAAGACCTAAATGTTAAGCTTGACTTCAGCCTCTCAGCCCTGGAATTGCAAGTGAGTATCAATAAGCCTGGCTAAATGAGTTTTTAGAAACTTTCTTTCACTTACTGTAAAGACTAAATGATAGTTTTTTTAGGGAGAAAGAAGCTTGTATAATTGGACAAGCTCATTTAACAATAACTTAAGCATGGAGCTCCAGAGGCGCAATTGGTTAGCGCATGGTACTTGTATAACAATAACTTAAGCTGGGCCTGGTGGCTCATGGCTGTAATCGCAGCACTCAGGAGCCAGAGGCAGGATCGCTGTGAGTTCAGGGCCAGTCTGACCTAGAGACCCTGCCTCAAAAAAAAAAAAAGTATTTTAAGAAGACCTTTATACTGCAGAATTAGTATTCACTTGTCAAT